TGGATGGTGAAGAGATTGAGATTGTTCACAGCTTTAGTTTGCTTATCTCCACAGTCAACACTCTTGGCACCAGTAGCCAGGAAATTAAAAGACGCATTGTGATGGGAAAATCTGTTGTTAGGGACCTCTCCAAAATACTAAAGAGCAATGGTTTATCTCTGGAGACGTACGTGCATCTGATACAGGCTATCACTTGTTATGCATCAGAGAGTTGGACAATGACTAAGGAGGACAGAAGGAGAATTGATGTCTTTGAGCTGTGGTACTGGAGAAGAGTATTGAGGGTGTCATGGACTGCTAGGAAAACAAATAGAGTCATTCTGGAAAAGGTTAAATCAGGCTGCTTCTTGGAGGCAAGAATTCTGAGTCTTTGTCTAACATACTTTGGACATGTTGTAAGGAGGGACCGGTCCTTGGAGAGAGACATCATGCTTGGGAGGCTGGAGGGACAGCACAGGAGAGGAAGGCCCTCTATGAAGTGTATTGATTTAGTGACAGGGGTCATCAGGATGGGTGTATCGGAGACAGTGCAATTGGCACATGACAGAGCAGAGTTTAGGGCTGTTGTACATAGGGTCGCTACGAGTCACAAGTGACTCAACGGCACACAAAAACGACAACAACAACATATGAAATAATTACATTAGTTCTGGTCAAGGATTCTTAAACATTTTTTCTAATTTAATTAAACACTTTATATGTGTTTTGTTGTTGTTCTTGATAGCCTTTGATTCGAGAACGACTCATACCGACCTTATGAACAAAAGGCTGAATGTCACTCCTGTTTCCAAACCTGTAATAGCATGTTATTGTATGTGCTTTAGTAAGAATTAGCATAAAAATGTTGAATATGCCACAGACTTGGAAAAAGTGTTTAGTAATGACATGTCAGTTAAGGGACTTATATCTAGAATTTTTAAATACTTGAGAACCACAACAAGATAAAGGCAAATAATCCAATTGAAAAATGGGCACAGGATATGAACAGACACTTCACCAAAGAAGACATTTAGATGGCCATCAAGCACATGAAGAAATGTTCAAAATCCCTAACTCTAAGAGAGAGGCAAATCAAAACAACTATAAGATATCATATCACCCCAGTAAGACTAGCAAAATTTAACATAACAGCAAGCAACAAATGTTGGCGAGGTTGTGGAGAGACTGGAATCCTTATTC